TGAGGATTGTTGATTCGGACTTGGATTTTTTAATTAGATTTCATTATAACCCTTAAAATATTAAATATTGATCTCCACAAAGGAGTTGACACGTGTCTTACACTATACTTAACCGGCTAATTAAGACCAAGATAACCTCCGCCTTAGCACGACCTACTTGATTAGCTGACATCTTGCGTAACCGAGTCAAATGGCGGTACCACTCGACCAATCCCCCAAGCGATTCTACAAGCGACCCAACTCGGCCCCCTGTTCAGTCGACATCTTGCGTAATCGAGTCAAAAGGTGGTACTTCTCGGCCTTGGACCTGATGAGTTGAAAGACGATAGTTATCTCAAACCCCTGACATGCCCACTACTTTCGCATTATCTGCCCTGACAACATCATTATTGATCTAGCCCCCATAGCCTTTATGACTTATCGGATCCAGTCAGCACCAAGTACTTGCTGTCATTCCTATTGTGACTCACCTTCTTCAATAATCAACACGTAGCACATGTTTGCCGACTCAGCTGCCTGGCTGGACTCGGTCCAAGTTATCTTCTTGTCCCTCAGACCCACTATAACTGGGGCGATACTACATGAGGTAACACTCTTTGATCTTTTGGACGTAACTAAGAGCTAACTCTATATTTCCCCACTTAAGATCATCTACTGACTTGATCATCGGAGGAACAGCCGAAGAACCTAACTCCGCCCTCCTACGAGTTCTTTCATGTGCAGGGAAGAACAGCAAGCCCCAGAACCATTCATCAGGAAGAGTTTGAGGACCCTAATCACTCCACAAACTCTCAAATAACCCCCTGTTTAATAACTAACATCAATAGATTTCAATTTCGAGTGTTAATCGTTTCGGAGTAAAATTTAGATTTAATTTTAAGGTGTTATTGGTTTAGGATTATGATTTGGATTTGAATTTAATGCATTATTGATTCAGGACTAGGATTTGGATTTGAATTTAATGTGTTATTAAATTAGGGCTAGGAGCTGGATTTAAATTTAATGTGTTAGTTGTGTAAGGTTGTTATTAGGACCGAGATTTCAAAATCTACACTCCATTATAACTTTACAATGTTTAATAAGAAATTTTCTAGAGAAAGCCCCCAAGTTAAAATGGATGGATTATGATATCACTCTGTAGATTTTCTCTCTCTCCTATTGTCCTTACTTATTTAAATATTTAATATATTTCAAATAATATTTATTTAATTTTAAAATATTCTATATTTAAAAATTATTTATATATTAACACTAAATTAAAATATTTGTAATCAACTTCCTTTTCTGAATTCTTTTAAAATGAAATATGTTTAATACTATTTAATCACTTAATATATTTAATATTTAATATTTAATATTATCTTAGATATGTTTATCATTTAACATTTCTTAAATATATAATATTTTAAATATTTAATATTATATTTCATTTATTTTATTTTTATTTAATTGTTAAAAATAAAAAATATTAAGTACGTAAATACATGTAATGTTTAAAAGTTTAGTATATTAAATAATAAAAATAGTTAGTTGTAAATCATTCGAATGTTAGATGATAAATGACTGAAATAAAATTTTCTACTATATTTAATATTTACATATTTAAATATACAAATTAATTTTTTTACCCGGTCGAACTCTAGTTATTTTCTTTTTTGTACTTGAGCTCTAGTTATTTTGCCTCCACTAGCTATATGATCTCATATAGCATCATCTGAACTATGTAAATGGATTACAAGATGCATTCAGTTTTATTGTTGCTAATCATTAATCAAAATGATGGTGGTTTTTTAAATTAATATTTATTTATTTGTAATTAATTATTATTCAACATAATAATTTATTTTACCCCTTATTCAAATAATTCATGAATCTAAAATTTAGTCTAATAATCCAACCCTCGGTTTATGAATTCAAAGCAAAAGTTTAAGAATCCAAACCAAAATTTCAAGAATGCTAACTCAAAAGATTAAAATCAAATCCAAGACTCCGGGGCTCTAACCATAAAGTCTAAGTCCAGATCTCAATCCAAGAACATGGAATTTATAGATAATTGTCAGAGTTCAAATCAACAATATGCAGAAAACACCCCCAAACATAGTTTACCAACGAAACTAAAAAAACTAACAAAGGAAAAGTTGCAATAACGCTTATGATTCTAGGGACCTAGCAACAATTTCCATGACTCGAGGCACAATTATCAGCCTAAAAAAATTGCATACTCAATGAAGTGAAAAATAATTACCAGTAACTCCAAGGTCTTCTCCTAAATTCTCCCCCAACTAAAAAAAATCTCTTCCCAGTTTCCACTACAACAATCATCATCATCTCACGCCATCGCACAAATCGAGGTCGATCACTCTCGATTCCGTTCCAATCTCTGTCCCCTCCAAAACCCTAGAGAGAGAATCTAGAGAGAGAAACCTCAAACCTCAATGGGAGAAGAGGCTACGGGCGGCGTCGATCCGCAGCGGATCAAGAGGATAGCGGCGGCGGCGTACGATTACGAGATCGATCCGCGGTGGTCGGATTACTGGTCGAACATCCTGATCCCCCCTCACATGGCGTCGAGATCTGACGTCGTCGATCACTTCAAGCGCAAGTTCTACCAGCGCTACATCGTAACTCCCTCTCTCAACTCTCTCGATTTCTATCTTAGGGTTTTGTTAATCTTGATCTTGTGGCTGCTCTTTCTTGCGCTTGATTGGTGAATTTGGTACTTCGGTGAACTTTTAGGGTTTTTGTGCATCAGATTTGTTTGTAGGTTAAACTGAAAACTTCTCTCTTATTAATTCTAAGTATTTCCTATTGATGAGCCATAGAAATGAATAAATAATTTAGATTGCCATCGATCGGTGAATCTAGTGCAGTTATTGGAATTTCTAGGGTCTTTGTACATCAGATTTGAGGATTGGTTAGGGATACGGAGAGTGGATTTTAATTAAGCTATGGATGAAACTTAAAAAAAGAATCAAACTGCTGCTGGTTTTATTTCACCTCTTATGGTTTTGTTTTGATTATCTTCCAGACATAGAAATATTGACCTAGTAACTGCTCTTTATTGCGCTTGTTTGGTGTACTCTTGAGGCTTTTGTCTATCAGATGATTTTATTTTCTTAATTTTCGAATTTTGGATTAGATTGAAGCTTTGGTTGGGGAGGTGGCGTATGTCTATGAATCTTTAATTGGTCATTGACTTCTCTTTCTTGTACTCTGCTGGTGATTTTAGTGCAATTGTTAGAATTTGCAGTGTCTCTTAGATTTGGGCATTTGATTAGGAATGTGTTTAGGTTTTATATTTATTTTCTAAAATTAGGATAAGGTTGAAGCTTTGAGTAGGATAACAGGTATTGTGGATCTCTTTTTGAACTGTGATTGGTTTCATTTAGAGTTTTTGTTCCGCTCTTTCAGTTTTTGGGGTTTTCCCCCCCTTATTACATGTTCCATCTTGTCTAAGAGTTATTCATATGCCTATATATGCTCATTTTCTTGTGATTCTTTTTTTGGATTTATAGTTAGATGTCTAAGTTGAAGTTCTATACCATATTATATTTCATCTATTTTATTTCACAGGGATTTCACTTGGTTGTTCGATCTGTTAAATTCCTTTGGGAGCCCTAATATGTTTGTTCACTATGAAGCTCTTGTTAGTATTAGTTTTTTAACTTTCTATTCTATGCTTAAGAGGTGAGGACTCAGTCTGTGGGCTTCTTTTTTATGAAAAATAGTTATGCTAGGAACATTCCCGTAAATCTGAGCATGATTGAGCACGTGGAAGATGACGAGGTATTTATCTTGCTAACTGTTCCATAATCGTGCATCAGAGTGAGTTTGAACAGATGGACTGTAAAAAAATTTGGCAAAATTACAAGATTGGCAGATTGGTATATTTTGTTGACCCTCAGTTACACATTGGTATATTTTCTTACTCCGGTGACAAATTGGTATATTATGTGGACTAGGGCGATAAATTAGCCTATATTTTGGCCGTAGTCAACATAATATACCAAATTGTCGCTGGAGTAAGAAAATATACCAATGTGTTACTAAGGGTCAACAAAATATACCAATCTGATAATTTTGCATTAAAAAATTTATTGATTTTATTCCATCAGTTTCTAGCACGGGAGCTACTGATGAAGGCAAGTGTTCATGTATGGGGTCATTCTCTATCCTATCTATAATGATGTGCATTTGAAATTTCTACTTTTTAGAGTATGATATTAGCTTCTCCATCATGTTTGTTATAAATGTTAGATTATAACTTGAGATTTGAGAGGGGATTATATGCTTGATAGTATTGAAAGAAGCTTTGGGGTGGAAGGTTGTGAGTTCATTGAGAGGAATGAAGTGCATTATGGGACTATGTTGTAGAATTCTACCGGGAAAAGGTTTTGAACATTTACATTCCTTCTTTTATCATTTTAGGACCGGAATGTCATAAACATAGTCGAGCATACACTATGTAGTCATAAAACTCTGCACTAGGTTACCTGCACAAGTACTTGAATGTCAGCCGGCGAAATATCTGGTTCATATGAATGGGGATTTTCCACATGGAAAATAAACATCGGATAATATATCAGGGATATGAGGTCAATATTTGGTGCAAGTATGTAGTCTTATATATTTCACATATTTAAATATCAATAACCCTACAACTGTTGTTGCGTCCTAGATGTCATTTGTCTATTAAAAAGATTACAACATGAATGGCACCTGAGGATAATACATGTTGACTCTGTGCAATAAACTAACTCATGAAATTGAACAATATTTGCTTAAAATTTTAGTTAACTAAATTAACTAATACAACATGATAAGTTGTATCTCTTATTTACTTGGTATGGATGAACAAAAAGCACTAAAATAATATAGGTAAATGTATTAGTTAACTAAATTAACTAATACAACATGATACGTTGTATCTCTTATTTACTTGGTATTGGATGAATGAAAAGCACTAAAAGAATATATGTAAATGTATCTATATATCAATATAACCCTCAAACACATTAACTGCTATTCAGTAAAACTTGGATAATTTGCTATGGCAAATATGTCATCTTTCACCTTCTAGAACTTTTCATTACCAAGGGGAATTTTTGAAGGATGTATTCCATTAGCTAAAACTGCATGTTCAACAAATTAGGTATTCCTACTTTCACACCAACCTTTGAGGATTTACCGGAAGCCCCTGCCTGTCCATGGTTTCATCTATCAATAATTCCGTACTGTATTTGGAGTATTTATGCTAGATTGCTATCCAGTTGTATTTTTTTTTGTCAAGCTATTTATGGAGTTTTTTTTCTTCCATAACAGACATTGTTCTGAGGGTAAGGATTGTGATGCTTGATGATGATAAATTTATGATACAGTTCTTTTAATTCTCCGGATTTGTTAAGAAGCTAGTGGCATTTGTACCAAACTTTTCTCAAGAACCCCCTGAATTTAAAATTTGTCGATATACTTTCAGTTTTATTTTTCCCAGTTAGATAGTTAACTTAAGGATTTAAAGTTTGTTGGTCGTTTAACATGCTACCACCAGCATAGAGTTTTCTTACACAGAATTTGTCTTTTGAGTGGTATTCTTTGTAAATATATTCGAGCCAGTGATTTTGCAACTCTATAATATAAACAGCTTCCTGTTCTCTGGATGACGATCTTATTGTCTGTGTTTTCAAAGTTTAAGTTGTTTTCTTTACACCGATAGTTGTGTACTTTCTTTCACTTTTGATGCCAACCAAAGTTTCTGAAATAGGGATCAAAGAATTTGGTTACGTGTGTAACTGCCTATCCAAGTTGATATAATTTATATGTTAATCTTTTCTAGGATCCTGATTTCGTGGTCGAGGCGATGACTTCCACTGGTTCATCACAATCAGCCAGAGCATCAAGTAGATCAACATCAGCTTCAGCAACAGAAAATGCAAGGCCTCGCACGACAGGTATTTATAGCGTGGTTGTTGTTCCTTTTTAACTCAAGCAAGGATTTCATGCTTGTCTTTAATCTAATTGTTTTATGGGCAATCTGTGCATTACAGCATCTAATACTGGAACAACTACTCCACCTGGGAGGAATTCCAACTCTTTGCGTTTGGATAAGCGGACCATACATTTTTCTGTCAATGCATGGGTGCGGCTAATTTCCATATCAGATAAATAACTTACATTACACTATCTTCTGTATAGTTACTTGAATATATCTATTGACCTACCAACCATCTATTACTTTAGGTATCTTAAATGAATAACTATATGTTAACATATGGATTACACAAAATGTTGCATTATATAATTCTTGTTGTCACACTAGATTTTCCTAGTTAACCATATGGCCCTGCTACCTGGCTTGTCTGTCATCCATGAAATCTCTTCATGGAATCTATGAAGGAAGTTCTCTCATGACCTCGTCGACCACTGGTCGATCAATTTGTCTGTTTCTGATCATGATGATCCTAGAAACAATTGGATTTCGAAGTTGGAAGATTCTTCTTATTGAAGCCTTAAATGAACTGCAAGTTTGATGTGGTTAAATTGTCAAAATCGACAAGCATTCTCATGTACAGGGGTGATACTATTCCACAAGATTTAGATAGTTCATATATATGTTGGGTTATAGTAACAGCTTTAGCTGTAGGTGTTCTTTCTTTTTCCCTTCTTGTTATGCAGTAAGGAAGCGCCTACTACTAGACCATCTCTTGAATGACGCGTAATGTCTCTCTGCAATTTAACCACACATTGGTCTTAAATGACTATTAGTGTGCCTCTGTATAATATTCATCTACAATAGATGCTTGTCGGAAGAGTATCTAGCTAGCAGCATGACCTGGAAGACCCTTACTAATTAGATTAGGTTTTTTTGGTATATATATAATATATCCCTTTGTGTATTTGCAAAACTACCCCCAAATCATCAACATTGGAAAAAGAACGCCAAATCGACTAAGCATCAACTTTGTTGGATATGGTGAGTAAAATTTTGACCATTTAGTTAATAATTTTCCTTGCAGTTACAGATTAACGTATCAAAGTTGATGATTTGTTGATTTGGGGGTATTTTTTCCAGATTTATGGGGATAGTTTTGCAAATGCTAAGATTGGGGGTAGTATATATACATACATACATACATACATACATACATATAATTAGAATATTTTATTTCTTGGTGCACTTTTAGTATTGATTTCGTCCACAGATCTCTGACTATACTATTTAGTGCTACCACTACCAGCAGTATTCGTCACATTATTGGCATACATGAGTGAACCATATTATCTATTGATTTCACTTGCTCTCAACTTCAATGCTTGTTCTGCATGGTTATTTGCAGGTTTTGGTTGTAGCAGTGCTTGGTGTCCTTCCTATTGTGTCAAGGAATCTTTCGAACAAGGCTTATCGATTGTCCTTGCTGGGCACGGCAATATCCTCAGTTTATTCGTTGTACACTCTCTATGGGGTAAGTGTTATAATTTACTGTTACAGTAATTCTCATAGTAAACTCTGAGCTTTTTCCTCGAGGCGCTGCTTCTTTTACCCCAAACGTTTGCTAAGGTCACTTATTTATCAGTTATCTTTGCTTTTAGTTATTTGTTAGTTTTGTTTTCCAGAAACCCAGGGCCTGGAATCTGCCTACTGTTCAAGCATGGTTTCAGTCTATAATTGCAACAAAGGATTTCATTCGTTTCGTCTACTGCCTTATGTTTGTTTCTTCACAGATACACTTTAAATGTAAGACTGTTGATAATTGACATCAACTTGTATTTTCTTTCCCCGAATGCATCAAAATGTGAATTTGTAATGTTTATTTGCATTAATTGTATACACTGTCTTGACAGTTGCCTTGATACCTGTACTCTGCTGGGCACTTGAACATGTTGCCAAATTCCTGAGGCTTAACTTCAGTCGTTCCTTGTTCTACAGGTAAATACACTTGAGCATGGTCACCAACAGCCTCAATATCGTTTTCTTTGGGAATATAGTCCTCAGTTTTTCCCATTCAAATCTTTTAACTGCAAGTAACCCAGTGATATGTCTATTCTGTCTGCAGGAAATACCTGGAGGAACCCTGTGTGTGGGTTGAGTCAAACATCACCACACTTAGCATCCTTAGTTCAAATGCAGAGATTGCTCTTGGTTTCCTTCTGATATTCTCACTCTTCTCGTCAGTGCACCCAAACTTTTTTGGTCTTTAGCTTTGCTTTCTTTTTTCTTTCGTCATCATAGTCATAATTTGCATAATTTTGGCAATGCAGATGGCAGCGCAACATATTACAGACATTCATGTACTTTCAGGTGAGTTCCATATATTACTTTCTTATGGTTTTAAATATTTTATCGATTCTCACATGGGATAACTTTCAGAGTTTGTTATACCGCTTGATATTGTTGCCAACCTTTATGTTGAACACTATACTCTTCTAATATTTTGTTTACTTTTGTGGAACAAATAAAAACTTCACTCTCTCTGGTCTTGGTTATATTCTAACTCTGGGCAATACTGAATGACACTTCCCACGTTGCTGGCTGCATAAGTATAGTTCAGATCTTTAAACCTTTCAAGTGTTCCTAATGTTTGTTTGGGCTTTGAGAAACTACTTTGAGACTTACAGGCCTTAATCCATGGTAGTGACTTCGTTATTTCTTTAATAACTTTCCATGACCCATTTTGTGTTCAATTTTGCATCCCTGCAAACAAAGCATTTTATTAAACTACAAATTCTAGCGCAGGGTCTGCACCAGAATTTGATGCTGGAATAGTTAATCTTACTTTAGATGCACTGTTTTAAAAAGCCTCCGCCTAGTCCGCTTGGGCGTATGCCTAGACCTAGGTGGTACCTTGGCCACCTAACTAACGCCTAGGCGGTACCTAGGCTGCCCACTAGGTTTTGAGAGTATTTAGGGGAGCATTGTGTGCTTACGTGGATTGCACCCTTTAGGCATTGATCGTGATTTTCTGTGTTGTAGCCTCCACGTCCTCCAACCTCCTTCAAACTCAGTTAACATCTAAATATGAACACTTCCACTACTTCCTCCTACCTTCAGCAAAACTTCCTCGACCATCGCTTAAACAAAGAAAGAAATTCACCTAGACACCAGTCCGACACCTAAGCTTTCTATAACATTAACATTTATTATCAATTATTGTAATTAAAAAAAAATCTCCTAGGCTCTAGGCAACGGGTCCAACGCCTAGGCTTCCTAGCGCTTTCTATAATCTTGTTAATTATTATTTTGGCCATTTAGCATGTATGGTTTATTATGGAGCTAGGATTGCTATCTATTTTTTTGCTAATTTATATGAATTTAATATTTTTTAGCAATTATTATAATTAAATAATAAAAAAATAGCCAAACGCCTAGGGACTACCTAGGCGCCGCCTAGGCGTACCCTTAGGCGCCTAGGCGTACCCTTAGGCGTCTAGGCGCTAGATGCTGGCTCAATGCCTAGTCCGTCTAGTGCCTTCTGTAAGTTGTTTAGATGTTAATATGCGCCTCAAAAACAATTTCCAACCTTACAAGAATCATCATTATCTTCTTTACATCTGAGCTTCCCAAGCCCTTACTACGTTTTGAGCTAAGATGTCCGTAGTGATTTCCTGGGTGCCGCTTGAGATCAACAAGAACTAAACCTTACTGAAATCGTGCTGGAGTTTGACTTGAAAAATCTGGAAAATACTTAAAACTACTTTGAATTTTCCCCAAACCTTCCAAGAGTCCCTAATTTTTCGCCTGTATTTTGTGAGACTACTCTGAAACTTCTTCAAGCTTTCAGGAGTTCATGGTAGGGAAATTTTTTACTGTGCACTTCATCCCTGCTTAGTTTTCAAATGAAAACTTAATTCAGAGTTTGGCACCATAATTTGCTGTCAGCAACAGTTAATTTCACTTAGCTGTCTCCAACAACTTCAAATCTTTATAAGAATCATTACCACTTGTTGACTATGTTTTGAACTATGCTGCCATTTATCGGAATCATCCTTGAGGTCTTGTTGCCTTCAAACCCCAGGAAACTATTTAAAACTTAATCGATTCATCTCTTATCGATTTTTTTTTCAGCTTCTGAAGCTCATGTATCATGCGCCTCCAACTGCCGGCTATCACCAGAGCGTGTGGGCCAAGATCAACCGGACTGTGTCTCCCTACATCATCCGCTATGCGCCTTTCTTGAACACTCCTCTCTCAGCAGTCCAGAGATGGTGGTTCAGGTAGGAGAAAGGAACAGGCTCGAGTCCTCGATCGAACTAGAAGTTTATCTTTTATGCCATTAGGAGAAATATTATTTTGCTCGAAAAAATAACAAAAACTATCATGTAATATCACGTTAGTGTAACCCTTCGCTATAAAGGTGGCTGTGGATTTCTATCCAACGGTTAGAGATAATAAGCAATTATCACTGCCTTCACCTCGACGATTAATGCAATAGTTGTGTTCTGCTATTACGTAGAATCAGTAGGGTTGTGGCGTGTCAACAATATGCTGCCCCCTTTTGATGTGACAAAGTTCACTTAGCGTGAGTACTTTGGGTGAGCTGGCATAATTTCTGCTGACATCAATTGAATGTAGGCGTTCTGGTTTCTGTTGAGAGTTCTTTATGCAGAATTTCAGGAATTTCTGATCTTGAAATTTTAAATGTTTACATATACTTCTGCGAACGTTTTGTTAAATTTTGTTTCGAGGCAACTTTCAGGCCCCCGAGGTAGTCCTTTATATTTCATATTTTATTTCCTTATAATCTACTTTAATTTGTAAAGTCTGAGTTGTCATCTCAATTAAACTCTCAAATCACTGGTTTCGTCCCCGACTTCGCTGGTGTACAACTCTTTCATCATTCCTAATGAAAGTTTTGTGGCTAAGCAGAATTATATTATGAATTTTCACTGTACGTACCGCGAATTAGGATGTAAATATTGTCTTATGAGCAGGTGATAAAGTGAGTATTTTTGTTAAAATTGTAAATTTTGAAGTACAATAACTAATTGTGATTAGGTTGAATAAATTAAAATGGACAAAGTTTGTGGGTTATGTTTCATGAAAATAGTGAACTTTGAGCAAAGATAACTTAATTGACATTAGCTCTAAATAATTAAAAATGGATAAAAAATCAAAAATCGTGGACTATGCTCATGAAAATTGTGAATTTTAATGTATGTTAATTGGTTGTCATTGTGTTGCAACAGAGAAAACATAATTATAGGTTGCGGGTCATGAAAATTTGATATAAATGAAAATGGACAAAGTTTGTGAGTTGTCTTATGAGAATCGTGAATTTTGAACAAAGAAAACTAAATTGACATTAGCTCCAAATAATTGAAAATGGGCAAAAATTGTCGGCTATACTCATGCTAATTGTGAATTTTAAGTACGCCAATTTTTTGTCATTGTGTTGCAATAAAGAAAATTAACATAATTATGTGTTGCAGGCTATGGACTCTGCAAAATTTGGAGGATGCCAATGAATTGCCAGTAGATCGGAAACATTAAATGGACAAAAAATTACATAATATAAATCAAGTAGATCGGAAACATTAAATGGACAAAAAATTACATAATTTAAATCATGAACATCGTGAAGTTTGAAGGAAAAAAGTCAACTATAGTCTGTGAAACATGAATTTTGAAGAAATAAAACTTAATTGTTATTGGCTTAAAAAAATGGACAACAATTGTGAGTTACACTCCATGAAGCCATTGCCTTTGAAATAAAAAAATTTAGCAAAATCATAGTTAATAGCCCATGAAAATTGAGCATTTTTGCCGTACATAAATTTATTCGCCATTGGGTTGAAATATATTAAGAAAGACAAAGTTGTTGATTATAACCCATGAAAATCGTAAATTCTGAGGAAAAACTTAAAATGTCATTGGAACAAAACGGCAAAAAAATGTACAAAAATCATGAGAAAAAATAACAAACTTTAAAATACTCTAGTTATTTGCCAATGGGTTGAAATGAACGATCGCGCTTTATAACCAACTAATGTTGAAAATTTTGACATGCAAATTATTTACTATTAGATTGAAATAGATAAAAATTGACAAAAAAAAAAAGAATTATAACCCATTAAAATTGTGAATTTTGAGATATCTAATTTCAATTTGGTCGAACAGAAGAAAATTGATGAATATCATGGGTTATTACCCTTGAAAATTAAAAATTTTAAAGTATACCAATTAGTTACTTTTGGATCGCAAATAGAATTTGCGGGTTATACCCCATAAAAATTTTGAGTTTTAAAATTACAGGACTAAATGCAAGTGGGTTGAAACGAAAGAAAGTGGACAAAAATCACGGGTAACTTATGAAAATTGTAAATTTTGATATACTTTATTAATTATTATGGGGCTAAAACAATAAAAATAGATAAATTCATGATATGCATGGGATATAACCCACAAATTTCGTAAATTTTCACTTGTTTCAACCTAGTGGCAATTGATCAGCCTACTTCAAAATTTGCAAAGGCTGAGTAATGTCATCTCAATAAAAATCCCAATCACCGGTTTCGTTTGATGCCGTACTAACTTCTTCATCAACCCTCAAGAAAGTTCGGCGGCAACACAAGATCATACTATAAATATTCGAAGTTCCAGTTGCAACATAACTTTATGATGTACCACAAATGAATTCATAAAAATAACTATTGATGACAAATTTGATCCTCAAGCTAAGAGTCCATCGATACGTTCCTCTGTGAAGTAAAGCTCAAAGAGATCACTTCATCCCTTGGCCGAACTTTTCCGAGCAAGTATTTGCTATGAGGACAGCCCATCGACCCGCTACGGTCACATTAGGCCGCCGAACACGCCGAGAATCTTATCCCAACGCGATCTGTACAAGCGGGGTGATCCCCGTGAAGGGCTCAAAGACGCATCATCCATCACATTTCAGGCCAAATATGATGAAAATATTTGGCCGTTACATCCCATGTATCATGAAAATATTGACACCTCTTGCACAAATCTCCTCTCATCAACCTTACATTAGTAAAGCACAAGCTGGTTATTCTTCTTCATACATGGAGCCAAGAAATATACGCTCCTTACCTCCGCCAAAGGATTCTCAACCCCCTCCCTCAATTAAGTTAGTGACTAACTACATGTCAAACATAAACGAGGGAGCTTGGGGGATCTTCACTATAGAAGCAACACTGTAAACGACACCACTGAAACAATGCCTGCCCCTCTTTATATAAAAAAAAGGCAGGGGCAACAATCGAAACTCTACAACTCCTCTCCCTCAAAACCTTTACAGTTCTGCCCGCGATCGCCTCCTCACCCTCCCATCTCAGCGCAGCCGTGTCAACTCAGCCACGGCGTTGCTCTACTCCCACTCCACGATCTCCTCACGCTCCTCCATGATGCGACCGACGTGTGTGACTCCAACCGCCTCCCGCTCGATGCCACACTAACTGACGGGTAAGGGTACAACTGTACAAGCACAGCCAAATCAGTCCCAAACTGTTTTTCTTACATCGAATGAACCACATTGTATACGGATTTGGATCCTTCCTGCTAACAAAAAGTAGTACAGAGACCGCTGCTTTCATCGTAACTGTTGATTTATCTGGTGGGTGATTATGATCCGTTCTAAATCCAACACTAGTCATATCTCGATTACTTGTACTCATTTCTAATTTACACTCATATATAAATCACAATCACCCATTAGACAAATTAACGGATGTGATAGAAGTAGCGGTCCCTCCACTACCTTTTTGTAGTGAAGCGGATCGCAATCCATTGTGCACTCTAATTACAATACTACGGACCTTTGCATCGAGCCTTGCTGACACCCCAACCGTCGTTGGCCTGACCGACCTCTGCCTGATGACGTGACAATACTCGGGATCATCCGCCCTCCCTTCTGACCGTATCCACTGAATCATCCCATGGTACATTGGGAAGAACCTCATTTGTATTGATGCATAGGCAAAGTATGGTACTAAAGTCGCGATGGTGACCAATAGAGTGACAATCCAAAACAACGGTGAAGGAGAAAGACTTTCGATGAAAACTTTGAACGCGTTGGTCGAGAAAGATGGAGAGATGGAACCATAGACGAAGAGGAAGAGGTACCAGAAAGCGACGCCACCCCATATGAAGATGTGTTGGATGAGGGTGAAGTAGGAGACAGAAAGAGCCATTTGAAGGTTGACGACCCAAATGACTATAGTGTACATGGTGGCTCCTAGGATTTCAAGCTCAGCGACCTCGCCGCCCTTCCGGAAGGCTTGGTGTTGGAGGACAGAGATCGTGAGGAAGAAGATGGTGATGGCACTGAGGATGCCGTTGAACATCCAGCCGAGAATTCGAACCCAGCTAAAGAGGACATTTTGTACACCTTCTTGGTATAAGAGGGGAAACTGCATTTTGAATCCATATCAAGCAATATCCATGTAATATAGAGTGAAAATTATGAGAGAATATCAAGCCTCTGTTGAATTTTGTCAATTTCTAGTGATTTTCTTTTATTATTTGAAAAATGAAGCACAAAGATTTATGCTGGCAAAGGAAAATGATTCATCTCTTGTTGCATTTCAACGTGATTAGACTCAGACTATAGTATTTCTTTTAGGTACTTTGTGATATAATTCCCCAACCCTCCCTTCCGTCCCTCCCCCCCCCCCCCCACCAAAAAAACGCCCCCAAAAAATCTTGTAATTATTTATTAAACCCTCAAATCTTCATACTTCTACATTTCTACATTAAGCTTCCGAAACCTTGATGTTGGTTCAAATGGGTTCTTATTTAGAAAAAGTTAGTAGTCTCAAGGGTTAAATTTAAAGCAACTTAATGAATTTAGGGTCTGATTAAAAATATGAAGATTTGGAGGTCTAACATGAAATTAACATAAAATTGGGGGTCTAATATAATAAAAACAAAATACTTTTATTAAATTCCTTCTAACGATTGCACCAAAAGTCTAAAGTTATGATGAGGGCTGAGGGTTATAATTTTAAATTAATTCTAACATGCCCCTCGAAGTTGAGCGTCCTTTTTATGACTGAAATCTAGACTCATGTAGCAATGTAAACTTTTAGAAAATCAGCTTTAATTTCGTGGCCGATGGGATTTAAATCTGGGTTGCTCTGATACCATCTTAAAGTCCCTCTAATTATTACACCCAAAGTCCGAAGTTATGGTGAGGGTCAAGGTTACAGAAAGAATTAGGCAGCCTGGGCATTAGACCCGATGCCTAGATCCTAGGCGCCTAGGAAGTTTTCCTATTTTTTTAAGTTTTTAATTATAATAATTGATAGGAAATGTCAAAGTTATAGAAAACTTAAGGTGTCGGACTAGCGTCTGGGTGGATTTCTTCGTTTAAGTGGTGGTGGTGGAGGTTCTGTTAAATATCAAAGGCTGATGTAGAGTTTGGATGATGTAGAGGCTGCAACTGAGGATATCACGATCAAGGCCTAAAGGGTGCAGTTCATGTAGGCAGATCATGCTCCCCTAGGTGCCCCCAAAACCTGATGGATAGTATAGGTACTGCCTAGGCGCTAGACGGTCAGAGTAGGTGCTACCTAGGCTTAGGCGTAGGCCTAAGCAGGCTAGGCTGAGGCTTTTTAAAACATTGGTAAGAGTTGAGGATTATAATTTTATACCATTAATTCTAACACCTTTGTTTTATTTCCTTTTCTTCAATACACCGATCGATAAGAAGAGAAATCTTTTTCTAAATCTTAACACAAAAGGATAGAAAACAATATCAATCACACTTGGGCTTTGATTGTGAAAATGATTGAGCAAGAGTTGTACCAAATACATTCAACTATTAATTATCTCAAACATTATATAGATACTGATAATTAGTCTAGAAAAGGAGCAGTTATGGAAAATTCGCATGGCATACATACCTTCAAGCAGAAACGAGCAGAAACATCTTGATCGAACACACCCAAAGCTATCACGGGAAGAGATGTGAAAAATACATTATATAACGACATAAACCAATCGTTATAAGCTGCCTGACCAGAGAACGAGGTATAAGCCTCATATAAGAAGAGAGTTACACCGAAAGTAAGGTTCTTGTAGAAGAAGTAACATATCTGCAAAGAAAAGGGTACATTAGCAACAACTTAAATTGAAAATTTACCAACTTAATAGGATTGAAAATGTTGTATTGTACCATTGAAGAGATCCTTCGATAGCACCAATGCCCATGAACAAGAAGTAGACGTTCTAGAAACCGAAACTGAGCTATTGAAACATCACTGGACATGACTGCCTGAAATTATTGGCAATCATAGAAGACAGAATTAGAATTAGAAGAATAAAGAAGTATACTTGAATTTATAATTAAGGCCACACTTAAGTAAAATTTTTCTTCTCCTTTACATCCATATTTATCAAGAAAATATATACAGGGGAATTAGAGGGGTGATAGCCAAACAATTTGCAATTGCATGAACTCAAATTTCAGACGAACTCTCTCTTCAAAAGGACTAAGGCAAACATTAAAAATTCATTTTTTTGGGTCTCTCTTGGGGTTTCCAAACTGGAGAACTTGAAAGAGATGAACAGTTACTGGATGGATTCAGAAATCCAACCTCAATTAAAATTCAAACTTTCATGATTTAGTTACTACAAATTCTTTCAAAACAATCCCACTGTACATCAAAGTGAAAAAAATGCATCATAACAAAATTATGAATCTTTATAATACTGGCCTGCATTCCTTCAACACCGCTGATGCCAATCCCTATGTCTGCTTCTTGAAGCATACCTACATCATTTGCTCCATCACCAATTGCTAGTGTTACTTTACGAGTGCCGCTCTTAACCAATCTTGTGACCTAAATAATTATGTTGGCCGCCTCGTTAAATTAGATTGACAGAAGGATAGAACAAAAGCAATTAGACAATAAAAACATGTTGAACTCACAAGGGCTTTTTGTATGGGGGAAGATCGGCAACATATGACTGATGCACAACTCACCGCCAATTGTAAAAAAAAATTCTTCACATCATTCTCCAAAGCATATGTGAGGGATTTCCCATCAATAATCAAAGCAAATGCCTCTGTGCTTGATGAGCCTACTCGTTTCTCTCCTTCACTTATTTGTTGTGTGATGCTGGCTTTACGTGCCTAAAAGAAAATATTGAGAAGATACATAGATTTTGAAACATATTTTAAGACATATACAAGTAGATAAAGAGCTTGAAACTTGTTATTCTGTGCCCTTTTCTTTGGAGATATCTTACATCTTTTAATGGGCATTGTTCATCCACAAAAAATTGCAAAAAAGGCACATCTTGAAGAGTGTTATCAGGGCAAAATTGCATAAATTGATACTCTTTTTGTTACCTTAGCAATGGCATCTTTGTTTCCTTCTTTCTCCACTGCTACAATATCTGGTGTTTCCAAAGTGATGATTATCTGCTTCATTCCTTGTCTCAGTAGACTGCAAGCAAAACTGAAGGAAGAGAGAAACAGGAGGATGGAGTCAGTATGAAGGCAGAAATGATGTTAAAGGAAAATGTAATAAAAGGTCCACTGAGAAAAGTGTATAAGTTTATCTATATATGATATTTTTGGCATACCCAATATTGATGGCAGTCTCCATCTTATCACCAGTTAATACCCAAATCTTAATTCCAGCTTGCGCTAGCTTGTCGATACATTCAGGTACCTATAGAGAAATAAATAAATAAATAAATAAATAAATAAATAAATTCAATAGTATAACAAGTATTAAACACTGAAAATTTTAACATTGTTACATGAAATTTTTCTACCCACCCCATTCTGGAGCTTGTCTTCAACAGCTGTAGCACCGATAAGAATTAGATCCTTCTCGATCTTTTCAGCAGCTTGGTCAATCTTTTCCTCTCTATCAGCAGTCACTAAGCTCTTTGCCTGGATAAATTCTTTATTGAATTTCTCATACACCTTTTCATCAAGCTCGCGATATGCAAGAACTAATGTCCTTAAGCCAGCATCAGCATAATCATGCAAGTTCTCCTTAGTCTTCTCCTCGAATTCTCTTCCATTCTTTGCAAGCCTTTCAAACATAACACTGTTTAAAAGCCCAAAATAAAACTATTAAAGATTATGCATAATATTTTCAAAACGAGAACCATATAAATGAACTATGACACTAACTAGTATTCTATTGAAGCATACTCACTTGTCGGCACCTTTAGTGAGAAGCAAAAGTTTTCCCTCATCAGTTTTAACTATCACAGACATCCTTTTCCGAGTGCTACTAAACTCTAAGATATTCAAGAGCCTATATGATCTGCAAACAATGCAAAACGAATATTATTAATTAGTAATAAATGGAAGGATTAATAATGTGTATTTGCAAAACTGCCACTTAAATCTTAGTATTTACAAAACTACCCACCACAACATCGACGTGAAAAATAAATACCATAAACCATCAACTTTGGTGGATATTATGAGTAAAATATTGACTATTTTGTTAATATTTTTACATTGCAAATACAAAGTAGCCTATCAAAGTCGATGATTTGTTGAGTTGGGGGGTATTTTTTGCCAGAGTTGATGATTTCCGGGCAATTTTGCAAATCTGAGATTTGGGGTAGTTTCGCAAATACACATGATTTAAGGGATATGTACATAAAACCCTAGATGAAATTAGAAAGGAGCTATAGATTGAAAGCTTGACCTATCCACTGTCTTGCCCGTAGAAGGATCAAGCTCATGAACGGAGATAGATGTCTGTGTTCTCTGATAGAACTCAAATCCTACTTCCCTTGCTGCAATAACAAATGCTGCCTCATCTGGTGACTCAGCTTCATAAGTAATTTTACCTGAGGTTTCATCAATTTCGGGTATAGCAGTATGGCATACAGCCAAGAGACGAAAAAACAACTGTATAATATCAGCACGAGGCTCATTAACCCAATTTCCATTCATTATTCGACCATCTTTGAAATTAAACCCTTTAACCTTTGGTTTTTCATCCACTTCCTTGTCTTCTTGAGGAGTCTCAAAAGGCAACGTGGACCTTTTTCTTTTGGCCATTGCCTTCTCCACCTCAGTAATACCACGACCATAAGCAGTACCAGCTATTGAGCACTTTATAAACTCCATAGAGTTACAAGTCAATGTTCCGGTTTTATCTGAGAGGATTGTGTCAACTTGACCTAATTCCTCGTTTAAATTTGAGGTACGAGCATGAGCGGGTGTATCAGTTTCCTCGTGATACATTTGAATGTCCTGGTTGATGAAAATGGCCTGAAGAACTTTGACAATCTCTATAGAAACATACAAAGAGATGGGGATAAAATAACTATATAGCATCATTGCAGTCAAGAAGTGCAAAATTGCTGCAAGAACTGCCCTTTTAGGATCATAGTACCAATCAGCGTCATCAGGTCGAAGATACCAACGTGTCATCCTGCCATTTTTCAGGTCATTGTAGGTTTTAATACCAAAGGAAATTGATCCAATAATTGAGATCAAAACCAAGCCAAATAGCAAGAGGTAAATAAGTTTATCCATTTTCCTCTCAATTTTGCTTCTCTTTGAAGGTGGATTTATGGCATTTTGCATAACTTTCGTATCTTGACCTGTGAATACGACAACCCCATAAACAAAATCGGTATTTCGGAGTTTTGAGTCCCTTAGAAGAAGTTGTTGAGGTGAGAGAGGATATTGTTGGCCTTCATAGTCCATGGTTCCTACAAAAGTGTAGAGGTTTGCATTTGGGTCTTCACATTTTATCACTGCTTTGAAATGTTGGAAGCTAGAATCATCTTGTAAGCTCGAAGTTGCTTCTAGTGACTGTTTTAGCTTCAAATTGGTTTCTCCATCAAGATTCGTGGTTTCCACGTAACAAATTGCCTCTTCATAACTTGATGAAAGCATGATTAGATCGGCAGGAAAGAAATTATCTTTTTCTACATTCACTATGTCTCCAACTCTCAAATTTTTCCATTCGGTTAGCTCAAAGTGTCCCCCACCGCGATGAACTTTAACCTTTCGATTATTCACCTCTCTGTCCTGAAAGAAAAGCATACTTTTTAGATATAACCATCTTTCCTAGAACCTGGAGAAAACTGAAGCATAGATCCCAGACTGTCTAAAGATTGCAGAAGAATTCTAACAGTTGAATTCTGTCCAAGAGCACAAGTAAAGCCAGAGGGGACTTTCTTTTCTCAAAAGAAAATCCTGGGAACTTTCAAATTACAAATAGTACTAGATGTTTTTTTCTCACTTCGGACCTATAAGCACCTCACAAGCAGACTCTACGATGGAAACAGGAAAACTTCCCTAATAAATTTGCAAAGAATTCAAAGTATCCCCTAATCATCAGATGCAAAACCTATCTTTCATCACCCAACTCCACAAAATTTCCTAAATATGTTTCTATAATATTTTCATATGATAAGCTACTGAGCAAAATATAAGGAATTCATCAATTCAACACTAAACTTTCCTACTATCACATGAATCTAAAAAAAAAAGGAAAATCCGATTCATTCACAATCGGTTTCCATCCATTCACATCAAAAACAACGTCATAAATCCATTCTAAATTTTAGAGAAAAAAGGAAAGGGAAAAATGGCAGGGAAAAAAAACAAAAGTACCTGCTGATTCCTCCTCCAATCTTCGACAGCCTCCTTAGCCATGCTTGCCCAGATCACCACCACCAGCGGCAACACCGCGCTCACTGCCGTGTAAGGCGCCAACGGCGTAAACGCAAGGCATCCAGTAAATAAAAAGTATATATTGGCAACTCTCCTAAACTGCTCGAACAAAGATTTGGGCACAAAAGTAGCCAATGTGTACTTGGTCGTAGACACATAATTGTTGCCATAATTCAATATATTGGCCTCAAAACAATCTGGTTCATTGGCAAATACAACTCTAGAATATCCCGGGCCCCCGATATTCAAATGATCATCAGTAGGAGAAGGCTTTAGACATGAAAAGCTGAACAATTTATTGAAATGAAGCTTCTTTCTCCTTCCTCTACCTCCAGCCATCTAAATGGGTACCAACAACAATGCAAATTTGCAATTTCTAGATGAAAACACAAGCTTTTGGACAAACCCAGACGTGAGTTTTTGAATTTCACAACTATGTGATAAAATTCCCACCCTTAGACATAAATGAATGAAAACTTGAAATTTTAACAAATACCCAGATGGAGAAATAGCTCCTTTCCTCTTTCTAGGATCAGCATACCATAGAGATCAGAGCTGAACACAATCTATAAGAACCCAAATATTTGCATGTATTTTTTTTTGGGCAAATGGGGAGAATGTGCAAAAAGAGAGAAAATTGGGATAAAAATGAGAGCTTGGTGAGGTTTACCCAAAAGCTCTAGAAGATCTTACATTGAAAAGAATTTCTGTTTTTTTGGCGCCATAGGGTAATTCCTTTCTCTCTCAAAATGATAGCTATATTGTCTTGATCCTCTATATTCCTCTCTCTAGAGAGATTTTATCTCCCTCTCTCTCCCCCCTCTCTGTCTCCCTCTCTCTCTTAAAACATAGCAAAGAAACTTCTTTTCTTTTGAAGGAGGAGACAGAGAGGCATTAGGATTCAAGGAACTTGTTCTTGTAATATTTGGGTAATTTTTTGGGACAGATTTGGTGGTGGATATTTCGTGAACAGGGGGTGAGAATATCAAACCTCAGTTTTAGGGGAATTAACTTGAAATTTTACCTCAATAATATGTGGATTAGTCTATGGGAGATTCTCCTAGTTCTTAGGTGGGTTTCCTTTTCTTCACTTGTTCTTTTCTTTTCTTAGGGAGGGGGACTACGAGGGAATATGTACCCGAAAGTATTTGCTGGTTTCGGTTGGTAAACTTCACAAAACCCTCCAAACTTTGGGTTGTTGCTCGAAACACCTCCGAACTTTTTTTTCCCCCGATAAACCCTCTGATTTTTCTCACGAAGAACCTTCCCGACTTTTCCACTAATAAACCCTCAACTTTCGTTTTCCTCAGGCACAGGTCAAGGTCGGAGCCAGATCCTTGTTTTCTCCTTTCGATTAAAACTTTCAATTAATATCTCATGTACTCTTTCATATATACATTGGACCTTTGATTCTAATATTTCGAAATTATGGAATTTCCGGTTAATTTTCAAGGTAATTAATTTCCTCATCCAAGCCAATTCGATTGATGATGTATTTTTGTAGTTCCAATGGTCATCACACGGATCTCCACAGATGCAACCTGATCGAGGACGGATTAAATATCATGACACAAAAACCAAACATGTACATACGTTATACGTTCAGACAAAATATAATAGTCAATAGAAGAATCACAGTAGATTTTTATCTTCATACATTGATAACTATGGAACTATTCATCATCTAACTCTGGATTAATTTATATTTCCGATGCAAGTTTGTACCCTGAGAATATATAAAGAAGATGATGAGGTTGGACTCGGTGTCAATAGTTGATTTGGCGGGAGACAGTGGTCCCATGGGAGTCGGGTCAATGGTTAGGTAGCGGTTCGAAAGGATTGGTGCCAAGATGTCGCGTCGACCGACGATCATTGCAATATAGAGCGAAGACACAGTTACACAAGAGGTCGGAGGGGGTTTCAAAATGTTTAGATGTTCGATTTCAAAGACCTGGGGTGCTGGGTCACTGGACTGAAAAAGTATTGGGGGGGCATATGTAAAAATATGGATTAGTTTAGTACTAAACATGTCTTTTTGAGCGTCGGTCAGGGTGATTCACCCTACGCCTCTGCTGTGACTTCGCCCTCGGCGGCAACTAACCCTGGATGGTTCTCGAAACAAACTGTGTTAGAAATTGGAGGCTTGGTGCGAAAAGTTTAAGAAGTTTCACGCGAAAAGTTTATGAAGGAAGGGTTTCATGAGATAGGGCCCAAATTTTGTTGGGGGTTTTGTCAAATTTACTCTAATGTTAACGACGCACCGATAATATGTTTCGTACGTGCACTGTTAATGTTAGAAGCCGAGATTAGTGCCCGTGTTCTCAATATGTGCATGAACAGTGGACGACCCAGTTTAACTTCGTTAATGTTAGATATATCTTATTTGCATGTCCATGTTCCAAATTTGCATATTTGCTAGTTTCCCGTACATTCTTCCATAGTTAGTTTTTATATCCCTCCGTTTAACATGGTTAAAGTTTATAGAGGTTAGAGACATATTAGCAAATATGCAAATTTGGGTGGTAAATATGTAAATGTATTTATGGGAGGTACATATGCAAATAGGGTACATATTTAAGAATATATATGCAGAGGCAAAAACGACTTATTTCTCGGGAGGAAGTGGAGTCTTTGTCAATTTGCTCCTTCTCGGTTTCATATATTTGACGTTGCTAAATGAAAGGATTATTTTAACTTAATGTTTAAGAATGTACGAGTAAATTAACAAAATGCTCAAGAATTTTTAGGTATATCTGCAATTAAAAATTCGATTTGAAAGTCACATAAGTAAAAAAATATTTTTTTAAATCTAAACAATTGTTTTATCCTTAATATCATCATTAAATATTTGTTCTTTATAAGTAGGTTCAAGGGTATATATACTCTTGAATTATAAGAGACTGGGGAAAAAAAAGAGAGAAAAACATTATATATGAAAAGAGAAGAAAATAATGACGTGCTTGCATGGACGTACATAAAATTAATGATTGAGTGAGATTGATTAACTAAAATTACAGACCTCTTTCTTTCATGCAGCAAGAAGCATTAGGATTATGCAATAGATTACTCCCTTTAGTTAATAGCAACTTTTTTCTGTTATAAAAAAAACTATCTTGGTCAGTTTAAGTGCAAATATATGTCCACAATATCCAATAGCCTCTACTCAAATTACATAGATGATACCCTAATTTTATATTGATGAGTGTGAATTGTCACAGCATGCGACCGAGTGGTTCACTGCCCTTGAAGTGAAAAGCAGAGGACAATGTTGTAATTTCACATACTTAAGGGTGGCAAAGAACCACTCGCTCGTATATGGATGGTTTTGATAGGATATGTATGTATATTCTTTTGTATTAAATTGAATAAAAAAAACTTAACAAACATAGTTGTCGTGGACCTAAGAAGATGAATTTCTTTCACAGACAAAATAAATTTATAGAACCTTACCAGGGTTAGTTACATTTTCTTTCACTTCTATCTCGTGCATAGTCACGTGTATAGTGTTGTGATATGAAAATAATCATAACTATTTTAAAAAGAGTACATAATTATGTGCGATTTAAAAAATATATAAATAGACAAGAAAACCAAGTTTGAAAGTTGATATATTTCTAAAAAAAAGTTGATAAAGTCCTAAAATTTTCACTCATAATGTCATTTATCAGTTGCTCTTTCTTTTAAATAATTAAGTTATATTATTTGTCCGAGGAAAATATAAATAAATATGATGTCATTTGTAAAATGGATCATGAACTTTTATATTCCTCTGCAAGTATTTTGCGAGAAAATAATAAACACATATCTTACTTGCTAATGATGATGATTTACTAATAATTCGATGTTAGCGTCTTTAGATAAAAACAAAGGATCCATACATAAAGGTAATGCGTTCAGTATCAAAATTTAATCAAATGAAATGATGTGGATATATACAATCGTCATTATTCACGACTTATACAATCAAATTTGGATGTAAACATCACAAGTTACGTGTGTTGAGTATAATACTTAAAAAAAGGTTCCAAACAAGAAGAAAAAACCTCCCAAATGCAAATATATAGCGTAATGGACCTAATGGTTGCAGGTAGATCCTTCTTCGTGAAATTTGTTGTCTCTTTTATCCTCATAAAAGAGAAAATTGTTTTTATTTTTTTTCAATAAATAGACCTTCTAAAGATAAAAGAACCAAAGAATTTCACTTAAAGTCTATTGTCAATTAACCTAATCAAAAGCTTGACTTCGACTTGTTTCCACATCAATGAAATTAAGGCAATTAAAATTTTCCCAATTATTTTGTTTGGACTTAGTCGAGGTAAATGTATCCTTTTCCCAAATCCGAATGATGTATAGAATGAATAGAGATGTATTGAAAGGTACAACAACCTAGTAGTTGAGCTATTTTTAATTTCCAACGATACATTTTAAAACCCTAGTTGTCACTTTTTAGTTAGCATTGAAATTGAAAAATCTTACTAGTTATTAAGATATGGCCCTCCTATCAATTTACAGAAATATTTTCAAAACAATAATACACATAAACTATTACTTCCATACATGTCATAGCTAATATATACACGCATTGTTGTAGTATTATTGCATCACTAACTCATTAAACAAAACATTAAGAACTTTGCAAACTCATCTCGCGCGACAACATTTGGTTAAGCTTGAGTACAAGTAACTTTTACATCAGAATAATATTTTAATAAAATAACTACATATGCGACGTCGTGTATAAAAGATGACAATATATAATTTTTATGATTTTCAATTTTTAGAAAATAATTATTTCTAATTTCTAATGTAATGATCTCTTAGAGGAACATGGATTTCGAACGGTAAGAAATATAAAATATCCACAAATTATGAGTTAACTTAATATT